GAAAGTTACTTTTCTTTGTTCCCTGTCTACAGACAATTCAGCCCCTCCTTCCTGCTCAGTGCTGTACGAAAATACGTTTTTCACCTCTGTGTGATAAAATACGAGTGAACAGTTTATAACACATACAAAAATAGGTATGATGTGAATAAAGTATAAATATAAAACCATGGAAAAGTGAACACACACAGAGTGCAGAACTAAAGTGAACACAGTGTATAAAATGTCCAGTGAACACACCCAGCCTGTCTAGTCATCAACATTTCATTAAGTAAATATATTAGCTGATAAAATTATATTTCAAGGGCATGGTATCCTACTCCTTCATTAGTTCACTGAAGTCATTTTCCTCTGGTTTATCTGGAAAACATTTTTAAAAAACTGCCTACTCATCTCCACGATCTAGTTATTCTTTAATGATAATGTAACAATTTATAATGCAGTCTTTGATGAAGGATTTATAAATTTAACTAAATTAACCACGTTAATCTCACAGAAAAAAGGCTAATAAATATGTTCTAGTTGAGATAGTTCAATAACTGGAATTACCACAAAAATTAGAAAATTATCAACTTTCAAAATTTAAGCTGTAATAGATATTTTAAAACGCTGAGTTAAACAGAAATAGACCTGTTTAAATCAGTCATGATGACAGTTAAAATACAACTAGCAAGTTAACATGTTTAATTAACTAAAACTGGTGACATGAAGTATTAATGCTGATAAATTGTGGTACAGAACAGTCAGCTAACGCTTCACAATGGCAAAAAAAAGTGTTGTATTTTCATGAACTTACCGGAGAAAACACCTCCGAAACACTGTATGAACTACGTTCAATGCTGAAACTTTGGTTACGTACTGTAACCCCAGATTCTATGAATATAGGCGTAGCCCTTTAAGAGCTGTCGCTGATGGGTTTATCCCGATATGCGAAGCATTACACTGAAAAATTTAGTCCACGCCCACCTGCTGTGTGGGCCCCACCTGGTCTGTATAAATTACGTTAAGAGCGGGAAATCGGCTCCCAAAATAGCTTTTTCTTCAGCCATTTAGGAGCCAGTGAGGCCCGACGCTTAAAGGGCTACGCCTATACTCATAGAATCTGGGGTTACAGTATGTAACCAACGTTCTATGTCATATAGGCTTCACCCTTTAAGGCTGTCGTTTAGTGGGTTAAGGGCGAAGCGGATGTGGTCCTCGCCTCACTGGGTCCATTCGAACACCGTATGAAGCAGAAGCTTGCCCAAAAAACGTCTTGTCACTCAGCTCCCCATGTGCGTAATTACGCGTTGTGTAATTATGTGTACCATGCACAGACGCATGTTGTGTAACTATGCGTTCTGAATGCATGAATGCCCCGGAAAAGTTTCAACGGAGGGGAGAAAAGCTGAAAAGAGCCATGAACCAACCGGTTTACGGCTGAACGGTATGAACAGATTAATAATAACAGGAGAGCTGATTATTAATCAAATGAACTGATTGGTAACGATAGTCATGAACTGATTAGTGACAATAGAACCAAAATAACAGTCACAACTTGTGACTGATAACAACATCTCACACTGTAATGCATGCAGACAGATGTGAGTTAAACAGAGTTCCATGAAACAACAATATTCATTCTGTAAATGTGTCATGGAACAGGCCGTCACATCACGTAGATAAAAGTGAATGAATGAGCAGGGTGTTGACCACGCAGCCGCAGTTCAAATGTCCTGCATTGACATACCATTATGCAGAGCAGTCGAAGATGCGATACCCCTGGTCGAGTGTGCTCCGAGGTTGACAGGAGGCTCTAAATCTGATGCTCTGTAGGCTTCAGAAATGGCCTCACACAGCCAGTGTGACAAGCGCTGGGTGGATAACGGTCGACCTGCAGATGTATCTCTATAATGCACAAACAGATGTTGAGTTTGACACATTGCAGCTGTGCGTGTTATGTAACACGTCAACGTCCGCACAGGACAGAGAAGATGGAAAGATGCTTCTTCTTCTGATTGTGGGGAGGGGAGGGAAAAACCCCTCCAACAATATCACTCTTGATTTAAAGAGCTCGTGATGATTTAGGCATAATACTGGATTCGGTCTTAGATCAGCTGAGCTGCCATCAGCCTGAATTCTGAGACATGACGGAGTGACAGAGAGGGCAGATAAATCACTCACCCTCTTAGCGGATGTTAAAGCCAGCAGCAGGGCTGATTTAAGAGACAAGAATTTAATTGGAACCTGATTCAGTAGCTCAGATGGAGCCTAGATCAGGGCTCGCAGGACTAGTGTTAAATCCCACTGTGGAACAAGTGGGCTTGAAAACAGGCCTGCTTCTCTGTACACCTTTTAAAAAACGCTTCATCAGCGGATGATTAAAAGCTGTTCTGTCTCTACAAAATCCTTTGTGACAGGAAGAGATGACTGCAGCGTACGTTTTAATCGTGCTGAATGCCAAATTTCCGTCCATCAGCTGCTGCAGAAAAGACAACACGTCGCCTAGTGGACATGAGGTGGCCTCTACATCTTGCGGGAGACCCATCCTCTCTAAGCGGATCCGCTCAGCGGCCAGACCCACAGGTGCCAACCTATTTCTGGGTAACTCCTGATAGCTCCTCCCACCTGAAGGAGAGCATCCTCCCTCCACGACAGTTTCCACGGGTGCCCCGATAACAGGTGACGTAGAACCGGAACCATGGTGCGTTCACGCGCTCGGGAGCCACCAGAGCTGTCAATCCCTCCTCCTGAACTCGGTTCAGAAACCGTAATATCAGGGGCGGTGGAGGAACATGTAAAATCATTTTGGGCCATGAGCGAACACGTCCACCCCCCAGCGGTGGTTCGTCTCGTGGGCTCAGTGAAGCCCATAGTTGACACTGAGCGTTTCCTCGTGTCGCAAAAAGGTCCACGGCCGCTTTGCCAAATTCCTGCCACGTCTGGGCCATCAGACCGAGGTGGAGGGTCCACTCTCCGTGACGCGGACCGCCCCTGGACATCACATCTGCCTCTTGTACAGAACACTGGGGATGTACACTGCTCTGATGAAGAGCAGATTTTGGTGTGCCCAACATAGTACTTTCCTCGCAATGTGTAATATTTGGCCTGCGTTGATTCTGCAGCACAGGAGCAAAGTGTTAAATCACATTCAGAACCGTGCAGCCCTCCAGAACGTTTATATGAGCTGTTGTGAGAAAGCTACAGTGCCCCTACAGCTCAAGATAGGCATGTCACCCCTCAACCTGACACCGGTGCGTCTGTGAAGACTGACAAGTGTGACGTAGGTCTGCTGACGGGGGCTCCCTCCGACAAAAACTAGGGGTTTTCCCAGTGTCGGAGGTCTGCTTTCACGGAGGGAGGAACAGTGATCGTCTGTCTCTTTTTGCCTCACCAGATCCATGCGTTGACGACATCGTGTTTAACAGCTTTATGATGGAAAATATCCGTTTTTACTCTGCCCGGTTTTACGTGGCGGAGCTGGACTCTTACAGAGTCGATTCTCATCTGCGATAAACAAATAAACAAGTTTAGCCCCACTCCCAGATAATCGTGTGGGCCGGGAGGATCGAACTTTTCAAATTTTATGGCGAAGCCCAGAATTGGCAGGTGTGACATCAACATCTGAGCCTGAGCCGACATGTGAAGCGGTCTGCCCACGATCGCCTTGTTGAAAAACTGACAGGTCCACATCGGTCTCATTCCTCTGGTCCGTTGGGAACCAGGAAGTAACGTGAGTAACAACCTGTGTTTCCCTCTCCGCCGGGAACCCCTGGACTTCTGCTTTTAGGGATGAGACCTGGTCTGGATGACAGGACGGTCTCTAAAAACTCCTCCGAACGGAGGGGGTCGGGCTGCAAGTTGCAACACGTAACCCCTGCCATCAACTTTGGCCATCTATGCCTGGCGAGAAAGCTCACAGCCACTCCACGTAACATCCGTGGAGTGGGCGCGCGTTTAGGTGGTGCGTCATGTTTTAACGAATGTCAGTCAATCCACTGCCTCAACCGCTGTCAGGAGCCGCGGGAGTGTGTTCTGTGTGACCCACAGGCGAAGCTCGGCTCTGAGCGCGTCTGTGTGCAGCGCTTGACTGCGGGTCCATATTCATGTCTAAGCGACAGCCTTAAAGGGCGAAGCCTATATGAAATAGAACTGCTGCTGTTTGGAACTTTTTGTGGTTGCATGACCCACGTGGGGCAGCACGGTGGCGCAACTGGTAGAGCTGCTGCCTCTCAGCAAGCAAGTCCTTGGTTCAAACCCCAGTCCAGGGGCCTTTCTGGGTGGAGTTTGCATGTTCTCTCTGTGCATGTGTAGGTTTTCGCCGTGTACTCCATTTTCCTCCCACAGACCAAAAACATGCATGTTAGGCTGATTGGTAACTCTAAATTGTCCCTAGGTGTGAGAGAGAGTGAATGGTTGAGTCTGTGTCCCTGTGATGGACTGGAGACCTGTCCATGGTGTCCCCCACCTCTCACACAGTGACTGCTGGATATGGACACCAGTGACCTGTGACCCGAACAGGAAGAAGCTGGTAAAAGGAATGGATGGATGAACATTAGTAGCCTATAAACAGTAAGTTTTTAATCAGTCATTTTAAGATGTTGACACTACATGTAACTCACATTGATTCTGTTTAGCACAATTTTAAAAAGGTGCTAAAATCCTTCTTCCGCTTGTTCTGAAACTGGGACCCTGTGTACACAACTTTGTTCCATCTCATGTACCACGTGATGCGAATGATAAAGAAACTTGAATCCTTTATCATAAAAGCTTTTCATTTTATTTGCAGTTCACTAGTTTAGTGAGCATGTTTTTATTTCCT